TATCAGCAGCAACACTCTCACAACATTCGCAGCTACACCTCCAAAGCCCCTCCTTCACTTTCTCCCCCAGCACCACCGGGTCAATGTCAAGAAAGGTGCATGGTCACCATGATCTACTCTGCGCTCTGCGCCCATCTGTCTTCAAAGGAGCTAAATCACCAGAGCTCTGACCGCCAAAACCACCAGAATTGAGAGCCTACAATTCCTGCCTCATACACACCTCCTACAACCACCACTCCGATCAACATCGAGAGGAGCGCGTTGTCACCAAAACTTGCTGCACGATCATCTGCCCTCGAAAGAGTTCAACCGCCCGAGGTGCTGACCACCAAATCTATCAAAGTTGTGACCACCAAAACCACCAAAGTTGCTGGCATGCAATCCCTCCCTCAAACACCCTTCCTCCCGCAAACACTCTTCTTCCGCCGCCTCCTCTACTCCCCTGACTTCGAAGCCTCAGAGACGAAAGTATGGCAATCACCACCAGAATCACCACCAACAAGCGCAGTACCACCGCATACACCCTTCTTGCCCTCGAGACCTCCGAGACCCGTGGTCTAGCCGTCAAGATTGAAGGCGTGCAATCCCTCTCCCTTGCTCCAAATCTTCATGTTCTGCGACTCTGTTGAGGCACTTCAACATACGCGGCTGGCTTTTGGGAATGAGACTGTCTCTGCTGTGGATACAGGAACGATGACGGGAAGAGCATGAGACTGCCTCTGCTGTACATGCAGGAACGATAACGGGAAGAGCATGTTGGCACAAGACTCGACCTGACCATGGATGCCGAATGGTTGAAGGGAAAGCCACCAATAAGTTGCATGGGAAAAGAAGATCGTTACATATACATTGGAGTGGGACTGGCAAACGCTTGAGAGGAGCAGACTTCAAGTCGGAAGTCATGGGTAATCATCACCGACTTGACGCTGGTAATCATCACCGAATTGACGCTGGCTGGTTGGAGGAACAAGTATACGAAATGATCTCCCGCAGTTGAGCTACGGGCACAGCGCACGTCGTCAAGTTCTGCGTCAATGCCGATCAGAGCTGAGCGAATGCCAATATACACCTGCGTGGCTGCAGCAATGCGATGCGCTGTCACCGCATGGCACTTCCAGCTGGAGACTCCGCCTTGACACCAGCTGGAGATCCACCTCGACACCGAGCTGGGTGGAGAGCAGCCATTCAACGCAGCGACCGAGCATCTCTACACCCTCCACGGCTGCCCCACCAAAGTTGAAGTGAGCGCTCTACACCCTCCACGACTCCCCCACCAAAGTTGAAGTCTCTACACCCTCCACGACACCCTCACCAAAGTTGAAGTCTCTACACCCTCCACGACTCCCCACAAAGTAGAAGTGAGCGGATCAAAAGTCATGTTGACAGCCAAGCCGATCCTCCTCCTTACACCCACCCTTCCTCCTCACCTCTATGCCTCCCGCAAACCTCATTCGACCCTTCAAGTATTACGATCACGATACCGCCCTCAAAAGCCAGCTGTACCGATACGTGCTGTGCAAATGCTGTCTGCCACAAACCTCGATCCATGAATCGGCAACGAGAAGACATATTCAAGGGTGGTCCCTGTCGGAAGAGCATGGATACGACGTGGAAGATACGCCCGCAATACACTAGGTGAGAAGACACATTCAAGGGTGGTCCCTGTCAAAAGAGCGTGGATACGACATGGAAGATGCCGCAATACACGAGGCGAGAAGACACATTCAAGGGTGGTCCCCGTCAAGAGCGTGGATACAACGTGGAAGATGCCGCAATACACGAGGCGAGAAGACACATTCAAGGGTGGTCCCCGTCAAGAGCGTGGATACAACGTGGAAGATGCTCCCGCCAAACACGATGTGAGAAGACACATTCAGGGTGGTCCCCGTCAAAAGAGCGTGGATACGGAAGATGCCCCCGCAATACACGAGGCTCGGGTCAGGCAGAAACGGGCTGGGTTCAGGCAGAAACGAGGCTTCAGGCCAGCCTTGACACAACACATTCGCCTGAAGAAGGGGGAAAAGGGGCATGCTAGTACAGATATGGCATAGTAGGGGCAAGATCCTGTCTGGCTGCCAATCGGTCCACCCCGTCCCTTCGACGAATCAAGAGACCGGATATCCACTACAAGCTATCGACGACAACCACCTCGTCGCAATAACAGACGTCCCACGGGTGTGTACGGTGGCTTCAAAGAGTTGGGGAACGATCATACATTGGCAGCCTTGCAACTGGTGAAGCCTGCCAGCGGGGATTTGAAATTGCGCAAGCCATTTTGAGGGCGCACAAAAAACAATGCGCGTCAGCTGTTCATCATCCACAGCACGATTGAATGGTCAAGTATTGCAAGCGCATTGTGTGGTGTACTTTCGTTGTATGGGAGCTTCATCCACCACCAATAACTCGCAGCACTTACCTGCACCACCACCTGCACCACTACCTGAGCATGAACAGTACAGTCTCCGACCCTTCCATACGCTATCCACCCTCATCAGCTGTCGACTTTAATTTGCATCGTGTCTTGTCCTTGTTCTGGTGCATGTCCCTACCAGCAACTCCACCAATCCACCAATCCACCAATTTTCGACCAAATTCGACCATTTCACTCGCAATCAACTTCGCATCACTTCAAAACCAAACTTCTTTCACATGCACATCATCATCTGCTTGCCTTCGTTGTTGTTTCCTACCTCACCGTTTTTGGTGGTCTTCCGAAAGAGGAAAAGCGTAACCCTGCTTTTTTGAAAATGAGCTTGTGTAACTCGCAACGACTTTGGGTGGGAGGCGGGTTTACTATACCTCATAGACTGCATGACGGTAGTGTCTGATATGAGATAAGTGGTAGAATGAAAGTGCAGGGTGAGAGGGTCATTTTGATGTAGGGTAGATGTATTTTAGATGGGAATTGCGTGATGGGTGGGGGGGAACCACACTCCCGCAATGTGAGGGGAGGATCAACCACCACACTCCTGCAATGCGACATGATTGATTTGATTGTAGAAGTGATTGTGAAGGTGTATTAGTAGTGTATGATGAGTGCAAGGAGTGTGCAGTGACTGTGCAGTGACTGGAGGGTGGATGAGTATGGTGAGTGTGGACCTGCACAACCAGACACGACAACATGCCCAACAACCATCACTGCATCATGCACGACACTTCAACAGTCAATGCGATGAATGAACGACTGAATGCAGGTAGTAGGAGAATGATGGAGGTGATGGTGGGGGTGGGTGAAGACCTGCTGGATGGATTACTACAGGCAAGTTGGACACTGAATCCCCAGACAACCACAACTGATGGGATGAATAATAGGCATGAGAAGAGACTGACATGCGTAAAGAGAACGAAGAAGACATTCATCCAGACAGTGATCAGAAAGGGTGGGGGGTGGGTATCATACAAACAGACACCCCTAGACAACCGTGAAGAAGACATCCCCAGACAACCACGACTGATAGGATGGATGAATAGGGATGAGAAGAGACAATGACATGCCAAAAGGAACACCGAAGACATTCATCCAGACAGTAATCAAACCGGGTGGGGGGTGGGTACTTCACGAAAAAGATACAAGTTGGTCACCACATCCCCAGACAACCATGACTGACGGGATGAATGAATAGGCATGAGAAGAGACATTGACGGCGAATGACATGCCCAAAGAGAACACGGAAGACATTCATCCAGATATTGGTCAGAAAGGGTGGGGGGTGGGTTCTACACGAACCAAGAACCAAGTAGGACACTACACACCCAGACAACCACGACTAATAGGATAAATAAATGAAAGGGAAGATAAGAGACAATAACATAACCAAAGACAACGAAGACATTCATCCAGACAGTGATCAGAAAGGGTGGGGGGTGAGTACTACATACAAGAAGACATACCCAGCCCCATACCCACGTTCACACACACCAACTGATGGGACGAATGAATGAAGGGCATAAGAAGAGACAGTGACAGACAATGGTATGCCTAAAGACAACGAAGAAGACATCCAGATAGTGATTAGACAGGGTGGGGGGTGGGTAGTACACGAAGAGGACATAACCAGCCAAATACCTATACCTACACACACACCACACGAACATGACACATACACATAAGAGAGGAACAACGACAGTGGTCAGACGGGGTGGGGGGTGGGTACTACACGAAGAAGACATACTCACCTACACACCCACCACATGAAGAAGACATACCTACCTACCAACGCGGAAGACATTCATCCAGACAGTGGTCAGAAAGGGTGGGGGGTGGGCAGTACACGAAGAGAACATACCTAGCCAAATACCTACACCCACACATACACTACACGAAGAAGACACACCCACCCACACCCACTTATACACCACACGAAGAAGACACACCCACCCACACCCACTTATACACCACACGAAGAAGATACATATCCACATAGTAGTCAAAATGGGTGGGGGGTGGGCACAACACGAAGAAGACATACCCACATATACCACATGAACAAGACATACATTCGCACCTACATACCTACACCCACACACACACCACACAAACAAGACGCATATTCAGATAGTAATCAGACTGGGTGGGGGGTGGGTGATACACGAAGAGAAGATACACACAAGAGAGGAACAACGAAAACAGTACCACAGCAAGATACAACCAACACATGAACAGTACCGTACTACTACCTGTAAAAGGAGTAACATCCATGGAGACACTCACTCAATGACAGAGAGATGACCTACTAACAAAAGACACGCAAGACATCCATCTACATATAAGTCAAGCCGGGTGGGGGGTGGGCAATTAACGAAAAGAAGAGAAGTTACGCAAGTAAGATAGACAAGAATGACACCACTTAACAAGAAGACACCACCAATAGGCAAGACACTGACATACACCACGAACAACAACCTAAGACATGGATGTCGATAGTTCTAAAGCCGGGTGGGGGGTGGGCAATATGCGCAAAATGGAAGACAAAAGAGATGGATACAACAAAACAGGATGAATGACAAAGAACTACGTGGAGGACATTCATGCTGATAGTGATCAACTCGGGTGGGAGGTGGGTAATGCACTCTAATACAACACCGTCGACGGACGAAAGACACCAATGACATACACATGAAACGACGGAAGAAGAGAACAACATCGAAAGACAACGCGGGACATTCCATCCAATGGATAGTTCAACTCGGGTGGGAGGTGGGTAAATCACACAACGATGCAGGTACGCAAAGAGACCACGACAACAACATGCGAAAAGAAGGCATCAACAAGGAAACAACGGATAGTTCAACTCGGGTGGGAGGTGGGTTAAACACACGGAGAGACCTCGAACACAATACCTTCAAAAGAAGACATCGACAAGGAAACACTTAAGAAGAGACACTGCGGAAGAAAACCCTCGAAAAGAAGCCATCGAAAAGAAGCCATTGAAAAGAAACACTCGAAAAGAAACTCTCGAAGAAGATGACATCGAAAAGAGCATCCTCCAGGAGAATACCCTCGAAGAAAACACCCTCGAAGAAAACGCCCTCGAAGAAAACACGTTCGAAGAAAACAACCTCGAAAAGAACTTAGTCGAAAAGGAAACCAAAGAAAGTCCATTGAAAGGAACCCCTCGAAAGAAGAAGACGCCCGAAGAAGAAGACCCTGGAAAGGACGACCGCGAAGGAAACAGCTCAAGAATGAACACTGACACGGAAATGTCGAAAAAACGTCGAAAACAAGTCTGTGAAAGAAACACCTCGAAAGAAGACCTAACTACACTTCAAAGAACAACATAGTAAGAAAAAGACATCGAATAGATGTACGTAAGGGAAAAAAAAAGCCCTAGCCCTAAACCCTTGCCGACGACGGGCGCTCCCGCGACCGCCTTCAATAGACTTCACAGAGCAACCATCCGCAACGAACAACCACAGTAACCAAGTGGAAGGACTGAACAAACACTGAACAGGTGTAGAAAGCACGAATAAATAGACTGAACAGCTATGGAAAGCATTCGCCAAGAGACACACTCATAGAGTAGAACCCTCACGTCTCCCACCACATTTGAGTACTCCCTACCGCGGATTCACCTACCAGTGATACCTAATCCTGCGAAGCAGGTCGCTTAATCACTTACTAGTAATACTTAATCCTGCGAAGCAGGCCTCTCTCTTACTCACTAGTAATACTTAACATTGCGAAGCAGGTCTCTCTCTTACTCACTAGTAATACTTAACATTGCGAAGCAGGTCTCTCTCTACTCGCTAGTAATACTTAACATTGCGAAGCAGGTCTCTCTCTACTCGCTAGTACTACCTAATTCTGCGGAGCAGGTCGCTCTCTTCCTTGCTTTTACGTAACCCTGCGAAGCAGGCCTCTCTCTCATTTCTCATACCTAATCCTGCGAAGCAGGTCTCTCTCTCACTTACTAGTGTCCCCTCTCGCGAAGTGATTACTCTCTCACCAAGTGATACTCTCCGCGAAGCGATCATTGCTCTTTGCGAAGCGACCGCTCCTCCGCGCAGCGGAGTTCCTGTTCCCCGCGAAGCGGCATCCTATGCTCCGCGAAGCGATGTCCTGTTCTATGCGTAGTATTCCCCGCGCTATTCTATGCTTCGCGAAGCGATGTCCTGTTCTATGCGCAGCGGTGTCGTAATCTCCGCGGGGTAGTATGCTGTTCTCGGTAAAGTGGTGTGCTGTTTGTCGCGAAGCGGTGTGCTCGTTTTCCGCGCAGTGATGTGGTCATCCTCGACGCAGTATTGCTCTCATTTCCCGCGAAGCGATCTCTTCTTATGAACGGATTGTCAGGCGATTGGTCCTGCTAGCCCTCTGTGAATAGTCTCCTGTGAGGAGTATTGCTTGCTTTGCAATTTTTAAAAGGATCGATTTTGCGAAACAATACTCCACCAAAGCAGTTCTCAATGAAAAGGTACATCAATGGCGCAATCTCATGCATTTAATATTAACATGTTAGGTCGAATGCAGAAGTGGACCGGAAAAGGGGCGTTTATCAAGCGCTCCCGTAGGCTCGTCTTGGGCCAAGCCGACAGAATTGTGCTAAATTTAAAGAAAGCTCGCCGTCGCTGGACAGCGGAGTTAGAAGTCGAACTGGGAATGAAAGAACTGTCAAAACCGAAAAATGCTGCGCTGTTAAATTGCTGGGCGTATATACTTTCCAAATTACTGATAGAGTTGTAGGGAGGTTTAGCGTTACCTCCTCAGTCGCTCCACTCAACACTGGATCTCAGGAGTCTGTACCAAAATAAGATTAGAGTTGGAGCTGCCAACACCACAGAGCTTCTTTGGTGGCAAGCTGTCGCTGCGCCTAGTCCAGGATAGACTACCAGCATCACAGCAACAGACGCGTCCTACATTGTACCGTGGTCGACACAATACACAGGCTGCACTCAACACTCGATCATTTCAGTGTGTGCGCTGCAGTTTGATAAATCTCTTCGAAGAGCTAGTCCACCATCTGCGCGACAGGTTCTGCAATACTTATTAAAACATTGCGAGTTACACTGCTTGAATGCTCAATATTTTGCGTCGCTTGCTGCAGCGTTGGCTCCCGTTACACAATCTCTTATGCCGCGTGATTATGTTGCCAAACATATCCACAGTTCTCTCGTCTATGCAGCGCACACCTCCAATGCCTGGAATCGATGAGCAACTGAAGAATCTCCAATACCTCACATTGAGTTGCTGTGTACGAGTCTTCAGCTCCACCTTGTGGTCTGTTTTCTACAAACCGAATGTCGATTGTCATCTCGCTACGAATTAGTTATCGCTTGCCGACGTGTTATTCAGCGTCTTATCAACAGCAAAGACGATGGGCTCTCGACCAGCGGTTGCGCCATTGCAGGAGCAATCCTGACTGGCTTATCGGCACGTATTCCATGTCCTTGAAGACTTTGGATGCGCGATTTGCTCGTCATGATCCTGTTGCTAATGCCTGGCTAGGGTGCCTTCAGCTTTTTCTTGAGGGATAGAATGAACCACTACGAGCACAACATCGACAGTCTCAACGTGAAGTCGAGTATCTGTTGGAGGTGCTACAAGATGAGGAACCCCGCCAAGGACTTCACGGTATACGAGGAGATGAAGAGAAGGAGGGACGCGTTGGATGAGTGTGAAGTTATAGAAGTAGCTGTAGACATCGCAGTAGTAGTACATGGAAATTTTGCCTTGTACATGGATGACCGGTTCTAAAAGTATGGGGGCAGGTCACGGGTTTGGTGTACCACGAGCCAGCCTGGAGTAGATCGACGTGAAGATGACCATAGACGACCCGACGGAGGAGAAGGCCTACGGCCAGGAGGGAGCTGATACCGTCGTCGTCGACCGTGATTGCGCCCAAGTGGTCAGGTGCGTGTTCAACGTCACGAATTTGTTGACGAAGACGATCACGCAGGAGGAGATTGACAGCACCGAGCAAAAGTACTGCAAGAGGCACTTGAAGATGAGCCCGGACAGGAAGACCTACTTGATCCCGTCTGGCTTCGCTCGGACGAGTTGAGAGAGTCAGACTCGCAGATGTTCAATCGCATAGTTATCGATGGCCGGGAGGACTCGGAGGACCTTATGAACTTCTACTTCGACAAGTCTTAGGCAAAGGTGAATCAAAAGGAAAATGTGCAACGGCTATAGACATATTCACACGTGCAGGTTCGTGGCATCGCCGTCGAAGGAACGCACGAGCAAGGTCTACATGCCGCTCACAGTGTTCAAAAAGGGCCCTTTCTCTACGTGAAGGCAGACAGAAGGTGCACCACAAGAAGGCTGGGGGTCGGGGATGCGCCTCCTCGAATCCGAACTTAGACGACGACACGAGCACGTACATTCCGTCGCCATCGAAGTCGCCGTTGGTCTTCTCGCAGACTTCAAGACCAACTCTCATCGAAGTCTCGTCGTCGTTTCCTCTCTCGATTATGACTCCCAGGGCACTATCAGATCCCTGTGAAAGGCACCTTCCCAAGATAATCGATGAGGGCCGCCAACAGGATCTGGCACCCAGACGTGACGCAGAGCATCATCGTGTCTTCAAGGGCGCTCGTCTCGTAGTTCCGCGGAACTGCGAGATCGACCCCGCGGTCTACACCACGATGACTTTCAAGGAGATGTCGATGCACGAGAGCGGGGAGGCCTAAAGCTTAAGCCGAAGGTGTGGAAACAAATGACCGCCTGCATGTTCAACAAGGCGTACTGGATGTCGTACGTGACCAGATCCAAGCAGGGCATTATAAACACCATGCTGGGGCACGGCATTGCCGGTCCTACGGCGTGATAAAACTGGGGATGATGCTCGGCACGTCTATATACCCGGACGCGTCCTCGTTCGTCATCGACTCCGTGCTTGCGCCCGAAATACCGCTCCTTAGGAAGCCGTTCTACTCGCACAGGCTGACGTGCTCGTCCGCTATCGCCAAGCTGACCAAGACCATCCACTAGAGGGGGATCAACATCTTGAAGACTCCGTGTTGCCCGCTATAGAGACATTTATGAGGGACATGGACACCGCGTACGGAATGATGAAGAAGGACTTGTCCGTCGTCTTGTGCAGTAACCCTCACGGACGATTAGATCGAGGGCACCACGCTCACGAACTTAACTCACTTATAAGGTCGGGCACTCAGATGACCTTGCTGAAGAACGCGATTTTGGTCACGTCCATGATTGAGGAGGTGGACGGCGTCATGCTCACGAACGAGGTAAGACTCGCGTTCGCCGTCATCATCTGCTACGTGTGCTTGTGTGGGCTTCCCTTGTTGGAGTCGGATCCAGTCCAGTTGATGTACAGCCTTCCGCTCGACTGGTGTACGTCGTTCACGTGCTTAAACATCAAGTGTTGAGGGACCCGGAGAGGCACCCGCTCGCGGGGATGGACACGGACGTCAGCTCGACACTGGGCGCGATAATCGGAAACATGGACATGCTCTTGTCGCCGTTGACACCCACGCAGGAGGTCGGAACGGTGGCCACGTACTCAAGCTCGGAGTCCGACGAGTAATACTACGGCCTCGTGGTGTTCACGCCGTCGTAGGCTTGTAGTAGTAGATGTACGACGTACAGGTTGCATATACCTGGTACACGACGAGACCAGCGACGTACACAAGAGCAATACCTCAAAACACGAATATATGTAATACTATAATTATGATGTGCAGGGTCTGCACGAAGGCGAACATGACCCCAGAGCTATACGCGTCCTTCGACGGAATTAAGTACGAGAGCGTGTTTACGAAGGAGTGGATAAGCTCGCACACGATGAGCGACGCCTAAAAGTTCAAGACTGCAGTGACGGTGATCGTGTGCCCCAAGTGTACCACGTCGCCTGTGATCGACATCAGGCCGGAGAACCTGCCTGGGATAGCCAAGTCGATCGGCGACAACACGAGGAACATCCTGGGCAAGTTCATCGTCCTGAACGACGGTGTCGAGGTGTACAAGTGGACCAAGAGCAGGTTCATTAAGGAGGACGGAGTACGAGACGGGGACTAACGCAGCTTCGACAACTACGACATCTAATGAAGACGACGACGAGGGTGAAGACGAAGACGAAGACGATGACGAAAACACAGACGTTGAGGATCACGACGGAAGATCGTCCCTAAGAAGTAAGCGCGAACCAGTACTTGTCGCTCCTTTTCGCTGGGGGGGGGAAGGAAGGGAATACGTACCGGGCCGGGTTTTAAAATGTAGACAACAGAGACGACCCTCACCATATCCATAAACGGCACCGTGTCTATGATCGTGATCGCCGCTACGCACTCGATTAGCGACTTGACGTCGGATGGCGACCCGGGGATCTGCATAGACCCGTTGCCGTACAGGGACAGCGCCGTAGATCTCGCCAAGTGTATAGGCGGCTGAATCTTTAGCTGCAGCTGTTCACCACTAAAAACGAGATTATGTCTATCTGCTGCAGACGGTCTTCGAGTACGCCGAGAGCACGTGAATGGACTTAGGCATCATCACCAAGATGACCACCTTTGTCTTTCTGTGCCTAACCATAAACATGATCGAGCTGCCGGAAAAGTTGCAATGAATGCACGATGGTTGCCTATCTTCGTCCTCTTAAGCTCCTTCAACGTCATCCACCCGGCCCACCTCCCCTTGATCTCCCCGTCTACGACGACAGTATTGCTCGGGGACATAGTCATAGGCTCGATGATCTGGATGAGGTCGCTGAAGTTCGTCTTCGCGGACATGATATCAAGCGCGTTCCCCTTGATGATCACGGTGGAGACCACAGGTTTCATTGTCTTCGCTGTTATGTTGGAGTCGTTGGATACCCACGACATGATCGGGAGGATCTTCCTGATCGAGCCGTCGACGGTGGCTGCGTACCTAAGCCCCTCTCTGAACGAGCCGATGATCTGCTTCGTGAACAAGTCCAAATACCTCTCTGCCTGAACAACGCCGACAAGTACTCGCCGGCAACACCTTGTTCAGCCTCTTCTCGAAGTGCTTCACTATCTCGACTCGACTTCCTATCTTTCTCCCTATGCGTGCCTTTAACTGCCTGCTCATTATACTTCGTTATCGCGTTCTCGAAGTCGATCTCGTGTTCATCTTGTACCAGACTAAGTAGTTGAAGCTGGCTGGAGCTGTTGAACGGCGTGACCAATACCTTCGTCCTACTCCACAACAGCAGCGCAGACATGGACGTCGAGTTGGTCAAGTACAGCAATGAGTCCGCCGTGAAGGTGCAGAGAATCGCGGAAATAATCAAGGAGGGGTACGTGAAGTTAGCTCGAGACATGGACGTGATGGTGGACGCCCATGATGGAGATGCTGTCCGCGAAGTGCAACCACACAGTTCGAACCCGTAAAGACGTGGTGGCTTATGAGAGGACGAAGGACAACGATGTCCTAAGCTTCGTCGACGACATCTGCATCGACACAACCATAGACATCACTATAAACACGGCGCGGAACACAGGACGAACGCCGTTACGTCCGCCGTCATCTCCGACTGTATGTCCCCGCTCGAGTTTACGGACAGGGTCACGGAGACGAAGGCCAGCTCTTTGATAACATCCGTCGGCTATCATCGCGTACGTCTTTGAGTGCATCTGTGCGTCGAAGAACTCACGAACGCGGAGATGCACATGCTCGCGGACGAGACCACCCAGACGTTCATGTGGGTATACGTCGGTCCGAGGACGAACGTGAGCGTGATCAATCCACGGACAGGCTTATCTACGTGTCCAAATTCATGAGCAAGAATGACAACATGTACAGGACGATGGTCGTGCATAGCAACGAGGTCGCGTCTAACCTCATGAAGATATACAAGAATACGAACACGGATGTGAACCTGCATCTCAACATCAACACACTAATACTCCAGCAGGAGGTGAGATATTCCTGCTCGCAGACGAACATGCTTGTCGGGATGTCCCCGTGCGGATCCGTGCATGAGCATGTTAAAGGCGTGCCCGTCTCCACGGGAACATGCGGAAGTTCTCGGTGAAGACTAGGAACACCGACACGTCCATGTTCGGCAAGATAAGGTGGTACGAGATATGCTCAGGCACTCGATCAACAGGTCCAAGTGCTATCATCTCATCGCCGATTCCTGTTCTTACGTCTCTCAACGCACGAGAGGCCGAAAGGTACAGCCTGAGTCTTTGGCATCTTTCGCAATTCGTTGGTTATGCGGAGAATTGCTTGTCCCTTCCCCCAAATCTTGATGATGCTGGGTGAATCTTGATTTCGTGGCGTTGCCGCGTTGGAAAGCACTTCGGTAAGAATTGATCTTGTCTCTTGTATACTGCAGTTGGCTCAAGTGCTCAAAAACACTGTGATGTCCTTAAGCAACTTGTCGATTTTCGTGGACCTTGCGTCAAGACTATTGATACATCAAATTAGTCTTGTAGTTATCATACCGGCTCTTGACGTTGTCCAGCTCTCGCCAAATACGTCGAAGGTCTACCAATGAGGGCTCTTCTTGTTCCGGAAATGCAAATCCAGCGAGCAGGGTGATGAATCTTCCGCTGCATAGTTCGGCGCTTCCAGGTTGCCGTTAGCGGTCGATAAGTAGTCAATGCCGCTAAATCGAGGAAGGTAGTAGTGTTTCCTGCATAATTACTTGCATTGGTCGCTGATCCTTTTCTAGCGCACATATTTTCAAAATCTTATGCCAGTGAAGCTCGTTAAATCTGTTCAACGATTCCATAGCAATCTAATCGATCGGAAGATGTTATGCTAGGAGAGGTGTATGATTTGTCAACTTCAGTTACGTACTATGCAATACAACTGCTCATTCAGAACAAATGGGAGACCGACTGCTTTGTCTTGATTCTTCGCTCCGAATTTGGAGGTGATCACCGCACGAAGCGGCTGCATGGCCTATCCCTATATTCAAGTTTGTTAGGGATTTGACTTGCTGAAACCTGGGATCTTGTCATCACAAACGCCCTTCATGTCCTTGACGCCGCGTCGTTTGTACAAGTTTGAAGGCTTGCTGAGGAGTAGCACGAACACTAGGATCTTATTATAGCACGAGAAAGCTGGAGCCCGCGTGAGAAGCTGAGATTGAATCTTATTAGCAAGATCCTCCCGCGTTCCGATTGGGAGGAGAAGAGTCGAATGTTCAATAAGAGCTCTCTTCAGGTTGGGGATACTTTGCGAACCAAGGAATCCATTCAAAAGGGACATCGCCGCTTCCAGAATGAATTTGATAATATAAGACTTAAGGCTGTGCGTCAAGTCTTTAGAGTCTAAAAAGAATGTTACCGTCAGTAAGAAGGAATCTCTTAAGAAGGAATCTCTAAGCTAGATTAGGCTGATTGCCTAAAAGTTTTCTAATATAAACCAACAGCATCGTACTGCGCAACGCTAGTTAAACAACCGATATTGCATACAAAGTAGAGACCGAACAGAACGGTGACGCTCTAGTGAAGGAAGAGGTCAACGTCGACAATGCAAAGTTTGACTTTAATAGGTATGAGATTTCCGAATTCCAAAGTTCAATACTAATCAAAACGGCATGCTCACGAACCAACAACGATAGCAACCTTATCATCTTGTAGCGCCTGTTGCGCCAATGCTTGATCCGGGTGCCCTTACATTAGCAACGCCCACTCGATGAAGCAGATCTTAAGGATATATTCGCGTCATCTCGCTGTCTTCGCAACTTAAATATTGTGAACAAAGGTTTCTAGATTAGAAGGGTTTCTCAGATTTCTTACTTTAGTCTAGTCGCAAGGGAAGAATCTAGCGTGCTGCCGTCTTACTTTCAGCGGTTTCAATCGATCTATGAGCTTGTTGCTTTTCAGAACTCGCTTGCTTAAGGGATTGATATCCCTGTCAAGATAGACACCACGGACGCACTCGGTCGTGCGATCATACAATCCTGTCAAAGTATTCACTGACATGTAGTCCCCTGGTATGTCAGTGATGAGTACCGCCGGATTGTCGGTCAAGCCCTTTATGTCCTCTTGGCGGTATTTCATAAAGATGCTGAACTCAGCTTAAGCCAATATACAGAAATACAATTGAAAACAGACCGAGACGGTAAGGTGAAGCCAGAATTACCACGTATGAGCCGAATCAATTCCTGTCCAGCCAAAGGAGTCTAGACCACGGACAGCGAGATTCGCAGGACGCCCAGACTGCTTCATGTTGGCTAGCAGGACGGGCATGAAGAAAAGGCCAAGGGTAAGAATAGTTTTAAGACAAAAGCAGAAACCGAATATAGAAAAAAACGTCGACCTTTTTCTTATTATGGTAATAATCGGTGAAATTGGACATCGATATCAATTAGCGGAGTTGATAACGAGTTGTGGAGGGACGCGGTTTCCAGTTAAAGATGGGCTAATTTACCTCTCATTAGTATTTGCGCGAAGCAAAGCTGTTTGGCTTGCTAAAAGACGGACTCTCTTGACTTCAGAGCAGTGAAAAGCAAAACGTGCATGATGGCAATAGCAAGAGCTAAGAGTTATTTGACCGTTATGGCCTGCCCTCTTTGAGAAGACTCCGTCGTCGTTCGCAAAACTTCATTGATGTCAATGTTCGACATATCGTAAGGTTACTTCTTCAATCAAAAGTCCTTGAGAATTGCGCGACCGAAGTTTCAAGATATCATATGCTGTGAAAATGGCTTCTACGCAGCCAATATTGGAGCTCCTCTGCTAAGACATTCCAACTACTTGCAAAGCCGTAGCATAGTAGAAACTAATAAGTAGACGTCACGGAGGTAAAAGCAATATAGAAAGCCTAATCAAGCTATTACTCGTTGATCTATAAATGAATTTTATATATCAAGTTACTATCAACTCGCTCCAATTAGAGTGGCCGGCGCTTGTTCAACGAGGTTAGCTGTGAATAGTGTTGTCCGCTCTTACGCTTTGGCAGAAGGCTATACTAATGAGGGTCGTACCGATTGCAAGTTGTACAACCTTTGTCATGGACGGAAAACAGCATAGCACTAATGTTCCATGAACCATTCTACTGACTAAGGAAAGCCACTTATTTTTTTCTTACTGTGAGAGTCGCTATTTAGAAATATACTCTTCCCTATAGCAACTTACACGAATCGCTATGGTTGGTCTCTTTCTCCTAGTCTAGGACAGCTAATGTCGCTATGCCTGCATCGGTCAAGCTATGATTATAAGCATGACCTTGTTTTTTAGCTCTGAATTTTCGAATCCACCTAAACTATACCCACAGGCGAGCCTTCATAAGCTTGCCGCCTGTCCAATCGCCATCTCTAAGGCTGTTTGAGGAAACAGTATGCCCAATCATCTGCAAAGTCACAGACCCGTGCTCCACAACGCTGCCTACGAATCTACAAGGCAACGTGGGTGAATCAAGCGAAGACAACGGGATCTCTGCACTTTCAGGGCGGCTCGGCCCGTACCTTAACTCTAAACTGCGACTTCCTCATGTATATCTGTCGCGGGGTGTAAGTTGCTCCTATCCCGCACTTTTAAAGCATGAGCTTGGCATTGCATCAAGGCTTCAGAGTGTCCCAAGCAGAACTTGATCTATCCCTAGAGTTCAAAACGGGTGGGTGGGTGGGTAAGCCGGGCGAGGAGAGGTCCCCGAATTGCACCTCGATAACAAGATCTATAAATGATTGGTGCAATGTATATTTCTTTGCCTGATAAGTCCCCTCATATTCACTCTGCAGCGACTTCAAGATTTCATGCCGCTCCCCATCATGACCGAAGTCTAGGATGAGGCTGACTATCTTCGCAGGTGCCTGACACATGTAGAGTCTTGCTTTGCTTCGTTTAGGGTCTCAATTGATAGGATGCCAAGTGAGCAGGAGCTGGGGGCGTTATGGAACAAGCTTTTCCCAAGGCGACTTTTTCGAAAGAATCCTCAGATTGGTGTTGAATTCATCGGGCTACTTCGGCAATACAACTGTTCACTCTATTCGACGATCGCTTGGGGAAAAAAAGAGGGTTAGTGTTTCTTTATATCATGTTATACAATGATGAAGGTGCAATGCGCAGAGAATCAGCACATCAATCAAAGCGATCCCCGAGTTTATTGCCAGAGTTATGTTGCAAACACTTCCTCAGTCGACGGAAGGAGAGCTTTCACCGTAGAGGAGGGTCACCACGACAATATCGAGTATTTCCAAGAATTCTGGGCCTTCCGTGAAAAAGGACTCTCCCACAAACTACCAGCTGAGTAAATGGCAGCGCT